CTGTTACAAATGTTTTAATTTTTCACGTTTGCTCGAAACATGAATTGAAAGATGAAGCTTTTTCGCTTAGTCATATACAGCTAATAAATATTTACAATATTCTGAAAGCTTTGCATTGTGTTTCTTTAGCAACGTATCACAATTCAAAATGTGTAATTGTAAAATTTCACAATATGGATACCTGGGTAACCTCAGTTTAACATGAGACACTTGTCTGGTGTAAACCCCAGAATTAAAAGACCTGTCAACATGTCTTCCCCACAGAAAACAGAAAGTTGTGGACATTGCAGTTTCAGCCACATCATTTCTCAGCTTCAAACCCACCTGCAGGGATGTGATTTCCATTTTCCCTCTCCTCTTCAAAGTCTTCGTCCGACTGCTCGTCCTCACTCACATCCTCTGAAAAGGAGGAAGCCGACGTGTTAAACCTAAGAAACTGTCAAACTGAACCTGTCAAAGTAACAGAAGTAATAATAGTGTAGCAGTTTGTTTTACCTGCACTCTGCTCAGACCTTTCTGAGCCTGAGACTGACTCTCCTTCATCCTCTTCTTCTTCCTCACCCTCACTCTGGCTGCTGGACTCCTCTTCATCTTGGTCATCCTCTTCGTCAGAGCCTGATCCTGATGCTAAACAAGAATGAAATGATTGGAGAACAACTTTATTAAATAATCGGAGGACATTTAACTATAAAACTGCCATGTCATCCTGATATTGGCTCTGGTGGTTATGTATTAACCTACAGTTATTAGCTCTGATGTCAAACTCAAGTGAGCGTTTCTCCTCCCATCAAATTTTTCATTCTAAATAAGTCGTCATGTCCCATCAGATATTGAACATAAAATACTTAGTACATAAATTGGCCTTTGTATGTGCTGTCATTTCTTTGCTGTAAGTGTAGATTAGACCGTCCATTACCTATGGAAGATTCTGCAGTGCTGGTCTTCCTTTCACTGTCACTGATGTCCTGAAGGTCTGCGAGCAGGTCTTTGCCCTCCTGCTTCTCCTCCTTCAAAGCTGCAGAGAGAAGGTAGTGTGAGCTATGCTGAAATGTGATCTCTGAGAGAATCATACCAGAAAACAATGAAAGGATACTGTTCGACTGAAAAACATGAGCAAATAGAGATTTTTGTGAGAGACTAAGATAAAATGGTAAACTCACCTGCACTCGTCCGTTGTTCACTGTGTTCAGATCTGTCTCGGGGAAGGCGGGTAGGACTGCGGCTGCGGTGAGTTTGTTTTGTCTTCTCATCATATTCATCAGGGAGCATCCTGTGGTGAGACGGCACTGTGGGAATGAAAGTCTCTATTATTCAATGCTGTAGACACCACCTTACAGTAAGCTGGGTTCATCACAGCCCTTGTGTTTGGTGTTCAGTAAACTGACAACGAATGCTGTGGATTTTGTGCTTAAATTAACTTTTCAACATTTTGGGAAATATGCCTATTTGCTTTCTTTCCCTGGGCATATAATTATATAATGCAATCGATGTGATTCTTGAGTGTATTAGCAACAGAGTTGGAGTTGGGAAGTGTTTTTAGATAAAGACTGATGACAGCTAGCTTGGCTCTAAGCGAAGTTAAAAAAGCCCCTGTTGTCCAGCACGTGTCTGGGTTCGCTCACTGACCTTCTCGTCGACCTCCTCTTTCTTTGCGTCTCTCCTCTGCCCTCCTCTCTCGATCCTTGAGCTCTCGTTGCTCTTTCTGCTGTTCGCGCAGCTTTCTGTCCCGTTCACGCTGGCGCTCCTGCTGCTCCAGGCGGTCCCTGTGGTCCAAAAAAAACCCAGGAGATTCCACTCGAGGTCTGTTCAGATAACCAAAGGTCCAGTTTTGTCATTGTTTGCTGTATTTTTTGTTTGGGTTGATAAAGTTTGACACAATTAGTTTATGGCTTTGAAATTGCTCTGTTGGCTTCACAGCAATACTCAGTGATTGACATATTGACCCATATGAATTTGTGGTTCTGTCTAAACAAAAAATTGTAAACAAACATTATTAATGATATGGTGCCTCTCTAAGGTCAACACTCACCTCTCTCTTCGAGAATGAGCTCTGGCCTGTTCCCTTCGTTTCTGCCTCTCCCAGTCTCGCCGGGCTTTGTCCTCCTCCCACTGACGCTTCCTGCGTTCACTCTCTCTATCTTTTTCTTTGTCTTTCGGTCGGACATGTTTACCTACTGTAGAAGCAAAAACCATGTGTAAAAAGACCCACAAAACAGTTCCAAAGGTTTTTTTATTCAGCTTCAAAACAATGTTTATGTGTTTTAATTAAAACATATCTCATACCTCCTTCATCAGAGTGACTGCGGTGACGTCTCTTATCTTTTCTCTTTTCCTCCTTTCTGTGGTGAGATTTGTCTTTCCTCGCTATCTGCTGTGGAGGCTTGATAGCTAATGATTCATCTTCCTCTCCTCTGCAAATAAATACATATATATATATATATCAATGAAATACTGTGAGCCAGCGGTACTGGCTTGTATTTTTTCCTAATTTCCAAAGGATGACAAAACATTTAATTACTACGTTAAATTATTACACGTACACTTGCTTACACCATAAAAACACAATTTCCTGACTTATCATTCAACAACATGTTTACTCATGATAGTTTTATAAAAATTCCAAGTACCTGTCCTCTGTTGAGTCCTCCCGTGTGTACGGGGAATTACGAATTGTTATTTCCATTCTTTGATCCTGTAGTTCTCCTTCCTCCGGAGTGTCTCGTTTGGATTCCCGATCATCCGCCTGTGGAACAAGGCTCTGTGTGAACTGTGTGAAACAAAAAGAGCAGAAGTTAATGCTGCAGCTACAGATAAATTAATAAATATATCCTCAAATGAAGATTATATGTAACAAGACGTGTAATGTAGCTGCAGATGTTTGCTAATTTCTTTTGATTTGTTTATTGTTTTTACCAAAATGACTTATTTGTCAATGCCCTGGTGCAAAAGCTTCTGGAAACTCTAATCTTTTAAAAACACAAAATAATCGTAAAAAAACTATAGAAAAATATCCATAGATTTTAATAAAGTATTTGTTAACAAATATATATGTGTTGAAGTTAATAAATAATAATTTATATTAAACTCATCACATTGAACTGTTATATTAAATTACATCATTTTTGAATCAACGTGTAGGTGTCACATGGGTGTTAGATTTTGAAACACTTTACATTTTTCTGGCGCTTGGGGTCTGCTCTCTCTTCTAATTCTCTTCTGCGTTTTTTCTCCTGTAGGATTTCGTCAAGAGTTTTAACTTTCCAGGTCTCCTTTTCGTCCCCCATCAGCATCCACTCTGCACCGCCTGGTCCACATCGAACACACATACACAACACAAGTGTTCTTTACATGTTGTCTCAGCTCAGGCTCATGTTAGTACATAAAGAAATGTGGTTATAACAGATCGATGACAGAGAAAAAGCAACTACCTGTCAGTCATTGCTATGTTTTTTCTTTTCACCTGGTGTACTTGGACCTTTTTACTAACTAGATCAAGTGTTTATATTCCATTTCACTTTTCTGTTCGTCGTGAAATAAGTGCGCTTGTTCCAAACACGTATTTATTAACGAACCTCAGACATAAGACAATATAAAACATGGTATTCACATGCCGCATCGAACCAGTCCAGACGATAACACAACGATTTAATAAAACTTTAATCGCATGATTATGTCTTAATTCCTTCACAGTGCATCTTTGCACGGACAACGACATGCAGCTCGAAGCTCCCCGAGTTTACAATACGACGCGTTTCTGGCGATGATCTGTTCAGCTGCAGTGCAGCAAAAAATTACGGCGCGTGTTAGCTGACAGGCTAATCAACGAGAAACACAGAGCCTGCTAACGTGATATAATGGTTTACATTAACGCAAAGGTTGAGTTCAAAGCGGCAGCATGAACCAGCACATGGAGCAGAATGGTAGGTAACTACTTTTAAACCCGCGGTGTGTTGTTAAGTCCAGCGTGATGCTAGCACGTTAGCTAACAGCTAGAACTAGCACGGGGGGCAGTTGCTAAACAACTCCCGCGGCTAACTGCGCGGTTTTAAAGAGAATGAATAATTCAGCTGTTTGGGGAAAGAACTACAGAACATGTATCCGTTTCCAAAAGTCTCATCAAAAGCCCAGATTCAGTAACAGGTGAAGTTATCCACGGCGCAGTGAAGACGGTTCAACAAACCTGAAGTATGCGCAGCGGTATTATGGCAGACACCGGAAGTGTTTATGCGGTGGTAACGTTTGTAAAACTTCCGGTGTGAAACAACGACGTCCTCATATAATCTGACATATTTGGGTTTTTCCCATTTTAAATTAAAATGTTTTTTAAGGTTCAAAAGCATTGCTAATTTAAATAAGTAAAGTATTTTTGATTCGGCAGGAGACATTACAAGGTTATTATCATTTTTAATATGTAATCTATCTGTCAATATTATATTTTATACAGCAAGACAACACTTCTCAAAATGTAGTTTCAGTGTCTACCTGTCCATGATGGGGCAGAAGTGTCCAAATATGACATAAACTCCACTGATCCTTCCGGAGTTTGTCAAACTGTGCAGTGAAAAACGAACACACGCAGACCTGCTGAGGGCTATGGGTCTCACACAAGGTTCCATGTGAAGCCCAAAACCTCCTAGAGGCAGCCTCATACTTCCCCAACCGGTGAAAAAGTTAATATGTAAACTGCAACTTAATGTTTGATGTTTATCACAGTGATTATTTTGTCCTGATTGTAAAAAATTAAATAAAAATAGAAGTCAGTTTATCTCTTCATATTCTCGGCAGTATGTTTGTACACTATATTATGGTGCAGAGGAGGGAGAACCAGGACATTTTTGAAATCGCTTTACAGTCCACAATCTACACAGGATGTGATGAAACCGGAGACTAACCACTGATTGAATTGCTCTTTATCACTGAGTAGGAGTCATATAAGCAGGAGATGAACAACAGTTGGAGAACAACCAATGAATTTATGACAGAATGACCTCAGTAGACACATGAACTGAGGCCAAGGTTCTTACCGAGCAGGAAGAATGGCTCTCGCAGTCTCAGTGTCTGTATTTAAAGAGCTGGAGACCGGAGCTTTGTGTTAAGAGCGTTGACTGTTTCTGACTCAGGTGAGTACAAACTGTGTTTATTTGAATGTGGGGACATAAACTGAATTCTTCTTTGAGTAGGAATCATCAAATCATGGTCTGATTAACCAATGTAAATTCGGACTGACATGATTTTCTGTAAATATTTCTAACGTAAGGTAAAAAAACACATGTGATAGAACTTTAAATACAGTATGATGTATCTTTAGAAGATTATGAATACATTTGTAAAAGTAGTAACATGTTGCCTTCATTTTTTGAATTCCTTAGTATTATAATAAAATATTTAGTTTTCCTTGTTGTAATGATGCCTTAAAAATACTTTTTAGATGTTTTATTGACCACAATCGACTATTCTTCCTCACTGTGTCCACTTCATGTGTCCAGGCTGAGCAGTGGGTGAACAGTGATTCCAGCATAAACCTTTGAGGAGAAGAAGGATTTCCCAATGGAACCCAGCCGAACCGAGAGTGTGCAGTATGATCGCTGGAATGAGGACAACATCAACATGAATGTGGCGGCATCACAGTCCACTATGACGAGGTGAAACATGGTGACACCTGACATAAAGATCCAAACGTTTCTATGTTTGAGAATTATTCTGACATTGCCATCAAGGAGCTAAATATTAGAGTTATAGGTGTGAGATAAATCAAATACTGGGACATGACAGGACTAAACTGGTTGGGTGGGGTTCTGGAAAAACCTTTATAGTTAAACTTAAGTCCAGCAAAGGCTATTTCACTCTTTGACTCTTCCTCCACTTCTCTTACACTCCCAGGATCTACAACACAGTGTGTGTCGGCAGCACTGGTGTAATAGTGAAGACAGCAGGAGCTCTGGCTGCACTGGTGTCTATCTACATCATAGGATACGCGACAGGATACTACGTCCATAGGTGCTGATGGTGGAGCCCAACCTGGAGAGAAAAAAGCCCTCGCACATTGTAGATGAAGCCACAAATTTAAGAAGACCATGATGACAATATGGCATCTTTATGCAGAAGAGCAATCAATCCAAGTGTGTTCAGGAAATCAGTGATCATTTCAGTCGTATTGTTATTAACACAAACTCAAGCTTCACATAGAACTATGCAAGTAAATCCTTGTCAGTTCAGTTCATTATGTTTGTATTAATTTCTATTCTGAAAAATAATTGTTTATTAATTAACCTGCAGTGTTGCAACCATGAATCCACAAACTGTCAATTGGATTTTCAAAACAAAAGTATAAAGTATAAAATGGTGTCTTTCTGAGGAAAAACAGGAAACAGGTTTTGTGTCATAATTGAATTGCATTCATTCTGTTGTAATATCTGCTTCACAAATAGTCAGTGCAGGGACAGCAGCAGCAAGGACTGAGGAGAAACAACCCACTGCAGTTTTAAGCATCATTACTGCCATATTTCTTTCGTAATACTAGGGCCACCTGCTGCAAGAGCAACACTGATTATATTAATTATTTGGCTGTAAGACTTCAGACTTGTTTCCGCATATTGTGTAAATAATACATGAAATTCTTTATTTTATTTGATTCCCCTTCAAATGATATTCCTCTGGTAAGGCTGACCTTTCTTGTGCTGCAAGGTTTTACTGCTTGTTTTTAAGAACTTGTGAGTTTTTAGCACCTACAACCACTGTGGTTGAACAGAAAACAGCTTCATTAACACAAAAGACCCACATTGCCTCAGAAACACCACACCAATCTTTGACAACCTGTTTGACTGATGAAACTGATTTGTTCTGCAAAGAAAGCTAACTTTTGGATTTCAAATAAATCTGCCACTTAAATTAATTTGTGTTGTCTGTGTTTTCTGTGATGCATTTTATGAGTCTGATCACAGAGAAAGGTTTGTATTTGTTACATCTCTGAAGTATCTGCCACTAAGGGTGTCCAATTTTTCCCTGGCATTGTGGGCATACGGAGCTGGATCTTCAGAGTTTGTACTTTACCTTATGGTCTTAAACTGAGTCATCATAAAATTTATTACAAAGAACATTTAAAAGGATTATTAAAATGTTCTTCATATTGGACCCTTGACCTGTGAAGATTGTTTCTTGTCTCTGTGCACACAGCAGAACTGTGTCCCATAACAGCTGCTGGACACACTTCCATTCAAACTTCAATTAACATTCATTCTCTGAGGAAGAATCTAAGAATTTATATTTTTGTCTTTAGGGCAAAATATCAGCTACGCACCAGATATCTCATAAGCTGAGTCCTTATTCTTTACCAATACCAATCACCATTAGGTTCCACAGTAATACAATAGTATTCTTGTAATTGCCTTAACTTGTATAACATATCTATATCCTTTGATGGGTCACAGGGGAGCTGGTGCCAATCCCAGTTGATATTTAGTGGGAGACAGGGTACACCCTCAAGAAGTCACCAGTGTGTCACAGAGCTGACACAAAGAGAAACACAACCATTCACACTCACATTAACACCTCTGGTCCATTTAGAGTCTCAAATAAACCTAACCCCAATCTGCATGTCTCTGAACTGTGGAAAGAAGCTGGAAAGACATGACAACTCCTCAGCCAAACAGGGAACCGTCTGGCTGTGGGGCAATAGTCCAATACCATGCCGTCCCTTGTTTTAATGTGAAAAAGGAAATTATACAAGAAATACAAAAAAAAAGTGTTATTAACCCTGCTGGCAATGTGCCTATTGGTAAATGATATATTAATTGTAGAGATAGTCTATCTTGCAGTCCCTGAAGGATCCACATTAGTGCATTAAACAGAAGTGGTGTTTTCATGTACGTTATTTTGTACAGATAAAACCAAGGTCTATTACAGGATAACAGAGGAAAGAGAGTGAAGGTGTCCATGTTGTCTTTAAAGACCAGCAGGCAGGTTCAATTCATGAAAAACTAATCTCTGGTCACCAGTCTGATCTGTACAGTGCAACCAGCTGATCATGAAAAACATTAACATTGATATCTGCATTACATAATAAATATGAAACATCTCCGGATCCATGAAGACACTGAGCTGACGTGTACACTTAGGTCTTTGAGTACATGTTGATATCAGTCAGCATCAGCTCCTGTGTCCGGTCCAAATCTCAATGAGATATATTTTTACTGCCCTATCTCTCAATGATAAAGAAAGTGGGAAAAAACCCTGGATCTGCCACACACCATGCACCTAAATTTACCCATACTGCATCCTTCCATCAAATTTCATCGGAATCTGTTCTTTTGTTTTTGTGTAATCTTGCTCCCAAACACATGGAATCAAATCTCAGTGAGAGGGTTTAATATGAAGCAGATATAACTCCAGTAGTAATAAGGTCTGACGGAGCCATACTGTGCTGCCCTCATGTGTCCAAACAGAAAAAGTCTGACCTCAATAGTGCTAACAGAGAAACTGCTTGAGACAGCATACATAATGTGCACCACAGGCACATGTGTAGTTTGAAGAGCTTCTGTATGCTCATTCAGACAATACTGCTGTAAAACTAAGAATGAAGTTCAGTAATAAATAAACTAAACTATTTTAAAACATGCACTTATTTAAAACTAACCCGCTTGTGTATAATTCCTGCCCTGATCTTAATATTGTCATCCTGAAAATGACTTAACAAAGCTCAACCTGAGCCAAGATGAATACGTTCTCAGCACTAACATAAATACAGAACAAACTACAATAGCACTAGTGGAGTTCATAGCCCCGCCAACAACCAACAGTCTCCACCTTGGATTCAATTAAGCTGCATTTCACACACTCACGGACATCAACTCCCCAAACATGAAAGTTTTTTATTCAAGATCAATTTATTATTATCTGGGAGCACTGTGAAAATGTGGAAAAATGCCCTATCTCTCAATGTTAAAGAAAGTGGACAAAAAAAATCTAAATTCAACCTTACTGCATCCTTCCATCAAGTTTCATGGAAATCTGTTGTTTTGTTTTAGTAACAAAACAAGACGGGTGAAAAACATGATTTCCCTGGCAGAGGTAAAACCCCCAAAGAAAGCATTAATACACACACACACACACACACGACTGATAATATGTGTGCACTTTCTCTATAAAGCTGAGCCCCGACCCCAAACCAAAAAGAATACATCAACCAAATAAAGTAAACACTGATAATCAAATATTGAAAACAAATACTGAGAAATAACAGAAACTAATAAATATCTGCTCTGCCCAGTTTAGTTAATAAAGTGACAGAAATGACCTCAACACTTAACACATTACTTCTACACTATTTTTTCTCCACTCGTCTCATTTTGTTATTTGTATAGTGATGGTGGCTCTAAATAAATCCCCATTGTATTTCCTGAACGTCTTGCTGGTCTGCAGATCACTGCTCCGGCTCTGTGGTGTCCACGTGAGCTCCCTCGGTGGTCAGCTGTGTGCAGGGGGGGGGGGGATCCGTCAGTGTGACGTCACGCGCCGCAGACAGCCGGGGGGGTGGGTCCCTGGTAGCCGGAGCAGCCCGGGAGGAGTGAGGGGGAGTCGGGAGGAGTCAAGGGGGAACGGCCGCCTCCTCCACCACAGCGTGTCTGAGCAAAATGAAACATGGATGAGGAGGTCGCAGAAAGTTGGGAGGAAGCCGCGGACAGTGGGGTAAATGCCGGAGCGCTCTGTGTGCTTCCACCGTGGAGCCGCTCGTGTCTCTGTCCGCCTTGGTTCCTCTCCGGTGCTTTCACAAGTTCCTCGCTTCGTTTATTTTCCGCGTTAACGACTCCCACGGGCCAACAATGTGGCTAATGCTAACGCTAGCTTTGCGAAACTTGGTGAGCTAACGTCAAGTAGCTGGCGAGCGACACGGCTTCAACACAGGCAGGCCGAGGATCATTATTATTTCTCACTGACTTCACGTGAGGCGGCGTTAATGTGCCAGTTTAACGGCTGAACGACGCACACGGACCGACCAAGTGAAGTTACCGTCCGGCTCGTTCAAATGCTAAGGCGTCAGCTAATGCTAGGCTAACTGTGGAGTACATGGCTAACGTGGAAAAACTGTCAGGTGGATATTGATTGTCTAACCTCACCACGCGACATGAACCCATGCCATCCACTTTAGTCTCGTTCGGATGAGATGTACAACTGTTATTTGAAGAATATGTCTAGAGCACTGTTTCCTACAGATCCGACCAAACGGCGGACGACGACTCTTAGCAGCGCGGATCCCTTTAAGAGTCCACATCTTGTGAGGAAGATGAGTTACTTCACAGGATCGTTGGCTTTCACTTATCAGATCTTAACATGGATCCTAACTTCATCTGCTTGAAATGTTAGCAGGCTGGATGTTGGCGTGGCGGACTAACTTGTTGGCTTCCTGTTAGGTTACAAGGCCATGTAGTTGGTGCACAACATTATCGGCCATGTTAACAACTCGTAGTAGAGCATCGAGGTAGTTCTATGGCCGGACAGGCAAGTTGTGAACGTCCAGGTAACATTCATCTTAACACTAGCAGTCATGGCGGTGGTCCGGCAGACGATCACCAGCTCGTGACGTCAACAACGTGGCTCTGTGAAGAAGTTAACGTCATCAGCTATTTACCCTCGAGGTTCAGATCATTTGTCTGTGACTTTGGTTAGTTAGTGTGAAACGTGAATAAAAAGCAACCTCAGCTAACCTCTTCTTCGAAAGTTTCGGTGTTAACATCTGCTGGCTAATGTTGGCTAGCTGAGCTGGTCTGTTTTGACTTGGCAGCTCCCCTACACATGTATAAATAGCTCGTAACTGAATCCTGCAATTCCAGTCGCTCTCCTACTTGCTTCATACCTGCCGCACTTTCCCTCACATCCACAATCAACGTGACCAAGTTGTTTGTTTACACGAATACATGTCTGAGTTATTTTTTCACCCCCACAGGAAATGGAAAAACGGCTAGAAGAGAAGCTAAAGATCAGCCAGAAAGAAAGGTAAACACGTAAACACCTAATTTGAGTTGCCTTTCTTTTCGAAACTGCTATTTTGTTTATAATGAGTCTCATTTATTCGTCAAGTTTATAAAGATGAAATAATATACATTTGTAGAAAAAATAAATAAAAATAATCTGCAACAAAGGTATTAGGAACATAAATATTCAGAAACACAGATTAACATTTCATTTCCCTCCAGAAAGGAGAAGTTAAAATCAACATGCTTGTCTTGTTCTAACCCTATTTTTTACTAAATCATCACACATATATATCCCCACTCTCCACCTGGTGTTCATCACCCACTCCATCGCTGTAGTTTTCATGTCTTCTTATGTGCATCATAATGCTTTCCATTCATCTTCTTGTCCTGTCTTCCTCTCATAAAAGATCTCTTTGTACATCTTATTAAACTGTTTTTGCTCTGTTTGATTCCTTCCTTAAGCACATTCCATAAAATGTGTCTTTATAAGTACCTACCAGACCACAAACTAAGACTTTTTTTTACAAATGACTATGAGCGACTCTTCAGTCCACTATGCATGTGATCTACGAAGAACTAATAATGCACTGATTCATCTACTGGGTCTGTATGGTGGCCGACACCGACTTTATTCGGTAGATTGGATATTGGTCTGACTTTACTGATGTAACAGTCTACAGTTATATTCATGCATTCCCAGTTTTAGCATCGCAGTGATTCCTGTCCTCATACCTTAAAATGTACAAAAAAAGGTTTCATGCTGAATAAAATGCAGTTTTTTTCTTAATGAAAAACAGAGCACTGGTACATGATTCTGTATAGATACTTTACCTTGAGTTGAAGTATTAGATTTGGTATTAAGAGGGAAATAAATTAAATTGTTGCATTCACATTAACTTCATAAAAAATTATTTTGTCAATTGTAAAAAAAAAATTAAGTAAGCCTACTTTAAGAACACATACTAACTACTCTATCACCACATGTTACATTGATGAGCAAGAAGAACTGAATCAGTCATGAATGTGTTGGGGTTTCTTTCATATGTCTTTTGGTCATGTATGTATCCTCTAAGCTACTGACGCCTTGTCTCTAATGATGGGGCCTCTTTCTGTCCTCACTGTCGTATCACTAATCTATTTCTACCGTGTCCTCCGTCCAGGGAATCCAGCAACAATTCCATGCGATCTCCACTAAAGACAACCATGATGATACAGGACGACTCTCTACCAGCGGGGCCCCCACCTCAGATACGCATTTTGAAGCGGCCGACAAATAATGGGTCACTGGGATCCCCCTTGAATCAGAACAGACCTACACCGCAGGTCAAGTCTCTGGCTCAGCGAGAGGCAGAGTACGCAGAGGCAAGGAAGAGAATCCTGGGCAGCGCCTGTCCAGAGGAGACGCCTCAAGACAAGCCCAACACTGACAGGTAATGTTCCACAAATATCAACAGACTGAATGTTTTACTCACAGCCCAATAAAGCTTTGCTGAAGGACACTTGTAATCAGTATCTTGTTCTGTGGTGCTGAGAACTGTTTGAAAAGTAAATATTCAACTGAAAATTGTAGGGCCACTCCATTCACAGAGGTTCCAGTAGTAAACACCTGTTGTTGTTCAGTGTTTAAATGTTTTTATCTCCAAAACACAACCATCACCCTGATTTCATAGCAGTTTTTTGTGTTTAATAAAAACATTTTCAATCTATGCTAACATTTATAATCCAATTAGACTACTTGAAACAAAACAGCTGTTTCCTAAGTGAAAGAACTTTATTTTAACACATAAATCCTTAAATAAGACAAACAATGTTGGCAACACATGCTAACAGTCAGCTAAAACTCAAAGCATGCTTTTGAAAATGGGTTTAAATGCAGTTCTGAAGTTAACTGTCCTAAAACCAAGATGGAGCTCTTTGACTAATGAGAGACAGCAGGGATCCTTTAATTAGGACAGTTCAGGAGAAAGACTCGTGGAACACAAACATGCTGCTGAAACCTGCCAAGGGGACTTGTGAGCACTGTCTGTCTGGCCGCTGGCATGTGGAAAACACTGCTGTCTCTAATTTATTCCTATTTCCTCTCTTTCTGACAGACCAGGGCGCAATAACTCTACAATGCCTTTAGAGGAAACCAGATCAACCAATCACACTGTCCGACAGCCAGCCGGTCCAGACGGCACCCATGGCTTCAGACAGCACAGATAAGTGGGCCTCAGCCATTGAGAGGAGAAAGATCAGGGGCCTCCTGCGAGCAAAGACAGTATTGTATTCTTAAACTTCCTTCAGTTCTATGATATCAGAGGGGGCAGTGAATTACAGAGGGGCACTGCTGCTCCACTCCTCCCACCAGCAGTCGTGTGGAACTGACAGGGAGCAAGGAACTCCAGGAGGAAGTCAAACATGCTCTTCTCTCTCTCCCAGTCCTGTCTGTTCGACACTGTGATTATGGACATCTTCTGGACTCACTGTGATGATCCCTTTAAGAGACGCCTCTCACCTCCATCTCTCTCCTCCTTCAGTGCCCGGCGGCTCCTCCTCAGGATGCCTGCAAGGCAGAAGCAAAGACTTTACAGGAGACGTAATGGGCCATAGCAAAATGAGATGAGCTGGTACTTGTGCAGCAGCTTCTCCCCAGCAATAATATCACACATCACTTCTCACACTATTCATGTTTTTAGTTTTTCAGATTCACAATTTGTTTTATCTTTTTAGGGATGCTCTGATATCGACCAAGTGCAGATAAAAGTATTTAATTATTAATCACCACCAAAACAGCAATTATATATTTTTTAAATAAACAGCAGTGGCTGCAGGTTTTATTAAAAATAAATCATTCAAAGTTTCACAACTTGCGATAAAATGATAGTTAAATGCCATATTTAGCTTTTTACAGTTTAAATGCAGACTCCAGGGCTGCAGCTTGTGGTGTCAGATCTCCCACAGTGAACTTGCCCCCAATGCTGAGTATTTAACTGCTACCTATCCAGTGACCCAGCTGTTAGCATAATCAGTGCACCCCTAATGTGTATATTGCCATTTGTTTTTAAAAACTGAGGGTAAGGGTCAAGTGTGTCTAGTTGTATGTCTGACATGTTCTGTTTACGGTTTTTGTTTTTTAATTGAGCTTACAGCTGTCTTCTTTTGACTGTCACTTCATTATTTCTATTTAAAAGTAAAAGCAAAAAAAAAAAAGATTGTGGATTTAGGTCCATTTTTAAGTAGCTTTTCTGCATTTTTGTATGAGATGGCAGTAATGTCAGCAGTATTTTAATCAAAATGAACCAAAAGCCCATTTTAAAATCAACCTGTACATGTTTCAGGTAAATCAGATGTCATTATTCGAAGGTGTTGTTGGCAGCAAGTCAAAGGAGCCGATTTGTTGCATCTTAACCTTGTCATCGGCACGCTCGTCTGATCGCGTCCTTCGCTGACGGACAGTATGTGGGAACTCAGGTGCAAGTGATTGAGAATGAATGAATGAAATGAACGAAGATTGTATTTTTCCAGCAGGTTTGATTGCGCAAAAAGCAAATGTCCATATTTAAGTTTGGGTCTGCAAACTTGAAACAATGTCCACGTCCCAAGGTGAATATGTTTTATTTTTATCTTAAGTGTTGGCATCTTGGTCACAGTATGAAATGGTTACACCCACTCGTGTTCAGCACCTGATGGTCCACTCCTGAAATGTAGACACAGCTGGATGTGAACCAGAGACGTAGCAGCTAGCTCCCTTTCCGCTGTGCCCCGATAGACATGACTAGTTTTTCCACATTTATGTGTTCAAATGGAGAGATCTCTATAAAGCCATATTCAACGATGCACATCATCAGTAGAAAAGTAATAAGAATGGTTGAATTCAGCGTGTGCCTCCTGTGTCATGTCTTTACTTTGCGGTTGTTGATTTTTATTAGTGTAGTTCAAGAAAGTGAATATATTTGAGGGAGAATTCACGATCCTGGTAAAGAGATTTTTAGTTGAGGAAGTCAAGCAGCAGAGCAGGAGACAGACTGGTCCAGCTGAGCTCTGAGTGAGAACACAAACTGCCTGTAAATACTGATTTAATAAAATGATTTGCCAAAAAAATATCTGCTGTATGTTGTGAAGTTTCATTTCTGTAGTTGATAGACCTTGTGAATGCTGATATTAAGAAAATCTTTTTTTCAAAACTAAGCATTACAACACAAAATTACACAACTACTCTGGGAATGAAACAGAACTCTCAACCCACACAACTAAAACCAAAACTACACCCACAGAGGAGAGTTGAGATTAGATTTGGGTTGAGTAGCAAACCAACCAGTAGACTATACTAATAATCGCAACGATCACTGATTGGAAATAAGAACACAATTCAAGACAGTTAAATTAAAAATAGTTTTTAATAATAGAGGTAAACATAACTTTGCATTGTTGGTCAAATTGTGGTCACAGCTCAGACATAACCTCCGTCGCACGACTTCTGACTCAAGTGCCTGTACGAAGGGAAGCGGATGCTAGGACAAGCGAATGAGTGTGTCATCGGCGGGGAACAGTGTCTGATGCAGGGGCGGCCATGATGGCGAGTTAGACAGGAGGGTGTGCAGACGTTTGTACTGTTTCTTGGACGAACGCTTCCTACGCAGCAACCGAAGACAGTTCAGGAGACCCGAGTCAATCAGCACCTGGATAAAGATAAAACAGTACAGTCTTCGGTACCATAGGAGATAATCCATCAAGAGTTTATTTGTTATTGGTGCAGATATTTAAACTTGTCATCGGAGCCCACACCAATGTAAAACAGGAGTAAAACATTTTCGATACCAATAAATATTAAAAGAGATGTCGCTATGTAACCCTAATGGCTAAGAAATGTAATTGAGGCTTGATATTTTATAGTTAAGCCATAAACCTCATCATAAAGATAATCACTTTTGTGAAAAGGTTCTGCTCTTTGAGGTGGTCCTGGAAAACTCAGAAGACTTCTCCAGAAATACAAAAAAAAAAAAAAAGCTTATGACAGTTCAAGGAAATAGACCACACACAAAGACAAACCAGTGGAATATGGGGTGGGTGGGGGTGTTAAATTTCCATTTGCATTTCTTTTTGACACATAATGTGTCCATAGAAACATTTGCATGCAAGCAATGTTACCTCAACACATACCTGGCTCCATCACATAAATACACTTTTTTTACTAAAGTAAAATTTCTCCCTCCCCTAAAAGGTAGAAATCCCTTAAACAGATAAGAAACAACAAGGACTGAAACACTGATTCCAGCCAAGACACAACTGTATTACAAAAAGAGGAGTGCATGTTGTGAGTTGAGAAAATAACACTTTTTTGACCCATAGGCCATCAGCACCCTTTCCTCCGTACTTAAAGAGGCTCAGTTAATGATTTAAGCTTAAAAAATTAGCCTTTCTGACTTCCCAGTCTTTAAGGACAAGGTGTTTTGTTGCCAGACAGCTCGCAATCTCTAAACACAGGAACTCTAAACACTGAACATACATGAACATTAGTGTTTATCAAGTAACAATAACAATTAAAAAGTGTCATAGATCCTAATGTTCATAGTGTTACAGGAGTCAGGAGGATAGAAGATCACTCATGGAAAGAGCAAGATACACCATAACCGTAAAATGGCATCTCTAAATGTGAGTGAGGAACTCTGGGGAAGTTCCAACCGGGGGAAGCCACTACAACTTCCAGCCGGTGCAAGATCGTCAAAAGTTTCAGGACCAAACTCACCTCCACAATAAAACAGACGAGGAAGTTGAGAGCAGCCAAAGCGACGAGAAGCATTTTGTAGTCCATATCAGAGATGTTGTACAATGACAGTATGAGGCAAACCACAGACCCAGGGTACAACACCAGCCAAGTCATCACGGAAAAGAGGATGATCAGCAGACAGAGGAAAATCACTGGGAATATGATATTAAAAAAAATGTATATATGTACACGTTATTCATTATATTCACATTTTATTTGATAAACCAATTTTTGGCACTGCTCTGAACACACACACTTCCAGACCCCAAAACCATCCTGCTCATTACTGATGACTCACCATTGTAGTAGAGAGGTTTTTTGTGGGGGTAGCCTTTTGTGACAACCACAGCCATGATGATGTACTGGAAACCAGACAAGGCAAATATACTGGTGTCCTCCATGTTGGGAAGATTGGCTATTCCGAACACTGTTGAGTTGAGTGGGGTATACCTAAAATGATGCAACAGATGTGTATAACAGATTGTATAAATCAGAATTTGTGAACAAGATTCAAATTTTTTCTGAGTTGATAAAAAAAATGTTTTGTTCAAATGTTGTGATGAGAAATAAAAACGACTTTTTTCTACTGACCAGTCCTGTGAGGTGGTGATGAAGAGTGCAGCCAGCTGGCCCAGGATGATCATGCAGGTGTGGATGAAGAGGCTGCCCAGCACGGGCAGGGCCAGAAGGTTGGCTGGGGGTCTGCAGGGATGCAGCTGGTTGCTGGGGCCCCCTTGTCCCATTACGATGGCCAGAGTCGTCACCAGAACAATGTCAAAGTACAGGAACTGCAGGTCAGCCACAGATGTGCTCATCTGGACATACACATTAAGAAGTCACATGTTACGACAAGGTCTGCCAACCCTGCCTGCTGAGAACTGAATGCCTGTTGCAGGAACGTGCAACAACATTAAGACAAGGTCTGCTGGAAAAATGTGGCCTTGTCTAAACTGCTGCTGATATTTTTCTGTACAAATATTTTCACCTCAGTTTTCAAAAAAGTTCTTCTACCCACACAACTGTTGATTTACAACAGTGGTCACCACTGTTGTAAATCAACCTTTTAAAGCACAAGATCACTTTTTAATTCAAAACGTGAGCCGAGATCTACCACCCCGATGTCTTGCAAAAAACCCACCCAGGAGGCTCATATTTATTATTTTAGTAGGCATTCATGCATCTTCAGCTCCTGCAAATATTTCACAATAAAACACTTTTTAAACAAAATAATGGATTTGGTCAACAGAAATGCTGGAGTGCTTTTCTTTTGTGTTTGTGACATAAATTCAACAAATAAACATTCAAACTCAGGTGGAAGATCATTTTATTCTGCAGTGAAACACAAAGTTGATCTGTCTATGTCACAAATGTATTTACAACACTTCTTGAACCCGTTTCAAAGTAAAAGCACTCCAGCGTTTCACTTCTGAATCCATTCATTTGTTCTTTGATTGTTGTCGACAGACCAGAAGATGCAGGACTTCATACCGTAGAGTCCTGACATTTAGTTCAGTGCATAATCCGACTTGTATTGCAGGAAATGCAGGAGATAAACCTGCTGCTCCGCCATCAGTAGCGGACACACAGCGGGTCTGCTGCTCTACCGCAGACTGTGAGTCTAGAGAGTTACAGAGATCGATGGTGAAGATTTTCGAGATCGACCGGTAGATCGAGATCGACCGGTAGATCGCGATCGACGGGTTGGCGACCACTGATTTACAAGATACTTATATCTAGACAAGAACACAAAAATAACTACAAACGCTCAGACAAGCATGCCAGACCAGCAGGTGGCGTCTTCATCAAAAATCTGTCAGCCAAAACAAATTGCTCCAACAAGTCATCACTTTTGTTGGTTCCTTTCCTCCCTCGCATCAAACTCGGCAGTGATCCAACACACAAACACACAAACAGAAACATGGCTGCTTTGACAGTGAGGGTCGACTGCTACTCACTGTGTGAAGGATGAGGACGGAGCAGAACTGAATGAGGCTGTACAGGGCCATGTATCTGAAGAGACCGAAGGAGGTGACCAGAGAACATCGGCCCTCTCTGCAGAGACAACAAGCAAAGATGTGTTGTTATTTCTTACTCTAAATTTACTGTACCGCAAACATTAACAGTTACGTTGGTTTCATAGAAGTCATCCACATTTACCACACCAACACTTCCTCACCTGATGAGCAGCGGCACACAGCTGATGTTTTCGTTTTTGGAAGTGAAAGGTGAAGCAACCGAAGCTTCGGCCTCAGACAAGGAAACCCCCACATCAGCAGCTCTCAGGGCCCCACAGTCATTGGCTCCGTCCCCACACATGCCCACCCGGTAGCTGCAGTAACAGAAGAGGAGCAGTATAAATTCACTAAGAGCTGGTATCTTATTTAAAGTCAGATAATAGCCAATTAGTGTTTGCCACAGCGACATGTCACTGACATAATGGAGTACAATTGTTTTTCTACAGTGGCTTTAGTATTCAGACAACAGAAAGTTGTGCACACTTTGTGTCGTAAATTCCGTTATTATAAACATTTGGCACTCGTGATCATCTGCATCTTGCTTGCTTTAATTACTTTTAGGGTGTGTCTATAACTTGGATGGAGTAAACTGTTCATGATGTTTGAACTCACTCTAGTTTCTGCAGCTCCTTCACCAGCTGGGTTTTCTGGTCAGGACTCATGCGTGCAAATACTGTGGTTCCCATCAAAACCTGAAAACATGGCATAACAAGACAAAGTAGAGTAAAGTCTTTGTTTTAACCAAAATACAATGTAATTTGATCACTCTTCAGGTCACAGCTTGGCCGATGCTTAGCATGGCCCATTCTTTCTGCTAGGATTACACATCTTACATTACCTTTGGCAAGTACTCCGGGAAGTGGTCACAAAGCACAGCAAAGGACTTGCCATTAATTGCCAACTGATGACGAGACCCCCCTTGGTACAGGCCCTGAGTAGAGAGGGATGAAAATTCAGTAACAGCAACCAAAATTAACTGCTATGGTTGTGCTTTTATGTGTTAATGAGATAACTACTTAATTATCAAATATGAAAAAGCAGATTAGTAAAAACTGATTTCCAGAGTTTGACCACTGAGGAAAAGACCATGATTTCTACTCAGTCCGACATAATGAAGGTCATCCACTTTAACATTCATCACAGAGAAGCATACTTATGGCTAAAGTCTCAAGAAAGTCCCATGAACCGTGATTCTTCCCAGATGATGAACTGTCTTAAACAGCGTGAGGACCAGTGCATCGCAGCGTTGTGTCTGAGCAGGACTAACCCACGTGTTGATCTCGACTGAGCTTTGTGCAGAAGTTGTCCCATCGTCTTCC